TGCTTTCAGAAAACTGCTTCATGCACAGCAGGACATCCTGAAACTTGACCCCTTGGTGGACTGAAACCATCAGAAATGTTACTGTTTTTCGGTTTGTTTTTTTAATGCACGATGTGTTCCCCAGCTCCCCTCTGCAGAGGTCACCCCCAGCGTCTCTGTGACACCCCCATTCTCCAACACACACTCACCATCTCCGGACTGCAGCTCCTGGAGATGGAAAGGGACGAGGGGTGTCACCCCCTCCCCCCAAGAGTCCACTTCCCGCCGATCGGCCGAAGGGGCTGCAAAGCGCGGGCTCGATTTCGGCGGGCAGAAGGACAAAGGCCCCGGAAAGACGGAGATCTAGGCTGTGGTCACCTGCGATTGCAGCAGGCTGCGTGGACCCCAAAAAGGCGATCAGCCAGGAACCCCAATACCTGGACTCCCTTATTTCCCAGGCTCGCAGCTTCCGCTTCCTGTTTGAGCGCCTCGGTGCTGCTTCAAAATCCTTCCGTGTAGAAACAGGTTCTTATTACAAGGTTGCCTTGAGCCTGACTCACAGAGACACTGTGAATAACAGAGCTGATTCCAATCTGTAGAATTGAGGTTTCTATTTTGGAATTAAATACCTAACTTGTTTATATCAGGAAGTCTCCAAAGCACAATTTCAATGGAGTGGAATCTCAGTGAAGTATAGCTAAATATAGCTATTTCAGCCTTTAAAAAAAAAAAAACCAACCCACTTAAATTCAAACATTGTTGCTTATTTTCATTCATTCTCCTCCTCTAGCCTCCCCAGTATTATACTCTTTGTTAAAGATTATTATACAAAAAAACGCCTTAATTCTATGGTCCTTCTAGAGAGTTCTTCCCCTCATGGGTTTTGATGCAGTGTTCATTATCTATCCACTCTTGTCCTATTTTTATGATTATTATTATTAATTTCAGTAAAAATGTACAGAGACTTTGGATATCCATTCATTCATTGTAGCACTTTTCTCCACTTCTTGTCCTAATTTCATGTCAGCTTGCCATGTATGTCCTGGATTAGAATAGTGGTGTTAGGCAGTATTTCTCCTTTTGTAACTGAGATATTTCACTCAGTATAATATTCTCCAGGCTTCCCCATATTGTGTATTGTTTTACAAGTTCATTGCTTTCCAGTTGTGCTTAATTTTTCAGTGTGTGGATATATTATGGGATCTTTTCCCCACCATTTGTGTGTCCGTTTGATGACCCTTTTTTTTGTCCCTTGTTGACCATTTGATGGTCACTTTGGTTATTTCCATGTGTTTGCTATCATGAATAACGCAGCTATAAACATGTGTGTGCATATACCTGTTTGAGTCATGGCTCTGGTTTCTTTAGGGTATATTCCCAGGATTGGAACCCAACTTTTAATTTTTTTTTAATTTTATTATTTTTGTGTGCATGTACCGTCAAATCAGATCTGACTAGTACAGGAGGAGACTGCTCTTCCTTCCCCGGCAGAGCATCTGGTGGATTCGAACCGTGCACCTCTGGGATTGTAGTTGCAGCTTCTTGCCACTAGCCCACCAGAGCTCCCTGGAACCCAACTTTTTGAGAAAGCACCAGATAGTCTTTCTTAGTGGCTGTACCATTTTACTCTCCCATCAGCAGTAAGAGTTATGCTCTTTCCACGACCTCTACAGCATCTGTTTGCAGCTTTATTAAGTTTCGTTGCTGTTGCTGGAGTGAGGTGGTATCTCACAGTTGTTTTCTGCCTCTTTTTCTTTTAATTTTCTTTTATTAATTTTAATGAACATTTACAGAGCCTTTGGATTTCCATTCATTCATTGTTGCACTGCCTTTTTCTTTTTAGTTGATTTTTTAATAAAAATTTACTGAAAAATTTGATTTCTACTCTTTTTTATTATTATTAAATTTTATTAGTTTTAATAAACATTTACAGAGATTTTGGGTTTTCATTCATTCATTGTTGCACTGTAATTTTTTTTTAATTTTTGTGTGAGTGTACCGTCAAATCAGATCTGACTGGTACAGGAGGAGATTGTCCCTCCTTCCCTGGCAGAGCATCTGGTGGATTCGAACCGTGTGTGCCTCTGGGATTGTAGTTGCAGGTCCTTGCCACTAGGCCACCAGAGCTCCCCTTTGATTTCCACTCTTGCACATTGTCCTCCATACCACCCTTCCAGTTTGCTTTTCTCTCATAAGAGTCTTTCATTGTACACAGTCACTTTCTTAAAATTGGTTTTAATATAATCATTTCTGTAAAAATTCCAGTGTTTCATTCCTGTAAAATATGTTCACGCATATATAATGTTCCTATTTCTCCACCCCTTTTTTGTTAATGAAAAAATTATTCTAATGGGGCTAAGTGTGTAAGAGTCAGTGAGCCTGGCTCAGAACAGAGCAGGCTTCAGGGCTGTTGTACACAATATTATCTATGAGTTACAGGTGACTCGATGGCACATATGAAAAACAACAAAATAAAAGTATCTGTTATATCTAAAAGAGATCAATTGATTGATGCTCAGGCCTGATAAAATGACATTACCATTTCTGGCGTTAGCTTTGTAGTATTTCGTCTTCACAGATTAAACTTGGTTTCCCAGAATGTTATTTTGGTAATCAAGTGTCATGGATTGAATGGTATCCATAAAAATACAGAGTAAGTAATGATATACTGGGGAAGCTATGTACTCTAACTGTGGTTTTTAAGGTGCCATTGAATCAACTATGATCCACCATGACCCTGTGTTGTTGTTGTTATGTGTCATCGAGTCAGCTGCGACTCACAGCGACCCTATTTTCAAGAGCCCTAAACCCTGCTCTATCCCTTGCCAATCTTATTGTCCCCGACACACCTATCCCCATTACTCCAGTGACTGAATCAATCCGTCTCATTGAGGGTTTTCCTCTCCTGCCCTGTCCCTCCACCCTCCCAAGCATAACATCCCTCTCCAAAGACTGGTCCCTCCTTGCAACATGTCCAAAGTATGTCAGATGAAGCTACAGAATCCTTGCCTCCAAGGAGCAGCCTGGCTTCACCCTCTCCAGAACGAACTAGTTTGTACTCCTAGCAGTCCATGGTATGTATATTCAAATAGTCTTCTCCAGCACCACTTTCAAAGGTTCAAAGGCATCAGCTCTCCTTCTATCAACCCTAGTTATTGTCCAGCTCTCTGATGTATAGCAGCAAGTAAATGCAAAGACCATGGCCTGTATCAGGCGCACCTTAATCTCTAGAGTGACATCGTTGCTCTTCAGTATTTTGGAGATGTCTCAGACAGCAGATATTCCCAATGGTATTCATGTTTTAATTTCCTGGCTGCTGGTACACAGAATCTTGATTGTAGAGCCAAGCAAACTGAAGCTGGTCAACAATCTCAATCTCTTCACCATCTATCATGATGATGCCAATGGGCCCAGTGGTGAGAATCTTTGTTTTCTTGATGTTGAGCTTCTAACCATGTTGAAGTCTATAGTCCTTGACCTTCTGCAGCAAGTGCTTCAGGTCCTCCTCAGTTTAAGCAAGCACGGTTGTGTCATCTGCATAACGCACATTGTTGATAATTCTCCTCCAATTCTGATGACTCATTCCTCCTCCTAGAGCGCAGCCTCCTGGATTATTTGTTCTGCATATAGATTTAAAAGGTGTGGAGATAGGACCATGCAAGTGTTTCCTTGCTCTGTTCTGACGACTGCTTCTTGATCCAAGTAGAGCTTTCGTATTAGCACAATTAAATGTTCTGGGATTCCCATTCTTCTCAGAGTCAGCCAGTTTGTTGTGATCTACACAGTCAAATGCCTTTGTATAATCAATGAAACACAGATAGACATTCCTCTGGTACTCTGCTTTCAGCCAAGACCCATCGGACGTTAGCTATAATAATCCTATTGCCATGGCCTCTTCTAAATGCAGCCTGCACTTCAGGCAGTTTTTTGTTGATGTGAATGTGAGTGAAATCTGAGCCCTGCCCTCTCCTCAACATCTTAGATATACCTGAATCCACTGTTAGTATAGTCACTTTGTCAGTCTAGCTCGTGAAATGGAACACCTTTTATTCCCCCAACAACCCTGATCCTTGAAAGGGAAGTTTCACCAAAAGAATCACCAGGAGTGGAGTGTTTATTCTGACTCAGGTTCCTGTTTGAGCAAGCCCCCTTTACACACAAAAAGGCCAGAACACAGATTTATCCAAGGAATGTAGGCACACAGATGCTGAAGGAAAGACAGACATCATCTCATGACTTACACAGAAAAAATGCCTTTCTTAGATACATTCCCTTGAATATGGACTTTTTTTATTTTAAATGAGATTTTAATCAAAGTTTATACAGAACTTGGATTTGCATTTATTCATTGCTGCACATTTTCCTCCCTGCCCACCTCTTCGAGTTCGCTTTTGTCGTTGAAATAAAACTCTGTCATTGTTATACCTTCGTTTCCCCACTCCTAGTCCACTTGAGTATGCAGTTCTTAGTATGGACTGTTTGCATGCAGATAATACTTGATCATATATTCCTTTGAAGCAGTTTCATTCCTCATTAGTTTCAATGCAGTGTATATTATTTATCCCCCCTTCTCTTCTTTTTCCCTCTAACCCCCATGTCAGTCCTGTTTTATAACAGGGATATTATGCAGTATTTGTCCTTTTGTGACTGAGATTTTTCACTCAGCATAATATCCTTAAGCGTCACACATGTGGTAGGATCTCTGAAGGCTTGGTGACAACAAGAAGTCTGCTGTCTAGGAAATCGTCCAAGAACACCTGAGACCCTTGAAAATGAGGGACCCTCAGATGGATCTAGGTGGAAAACAGCCCAGGTCTGATCTGTCAATACTCTTCTAAGTCAATTAACCCCAAAAGCTTAAGTACATCATAGTTCTTGCTAACAAGATCTCTTGGAATGCAGGGCACTGCAGACCGCTTAGGCAACTCCCCTGGATCAGACTCACTTAAAAATGTCTTTCTTGAGATGAGAAAGAACACAGATCCTTGAGTAGTTGTTGTCGTCAAGTCATAGAAGACTCAAAGCGACCCTATGAATTAAAGACCCGAACACTTGTAGAACTTCCATTGTTTCTCCAGGTTCACAGGGTTTCTGGAGGCAAGCCATTTCGGAAGTGGATGGCACTCCTGCTTCCAAGCTTGTTTGAATCGGGGAGCTCCACCAAACACTGTCCACCATGGGTAACCATTGTTGTATTTGACACTTTAGTGTCACAGTGTTCAGCTTCACAGCCACCACAAGTTACCTCTGTACAGCAAGTGTCCAAACTAGGGCCATATGCCCAGAAGAACGTTTCCCCAAAAACAATAAAAAACAGGCCTGAGGCCCATTGGTTTAAAGTCACCCACCTTTGGCTTCGGAGCATTTCTTTCTGTTCACTAGGCTAACTGATCTCTCCCTATGCTGTTGTTGTTAAGTGCCATTGAGTCGTAGGTGACTCATAGCAACCTTGGTAGTCAAAGATAATTTATTTCCCTAAGGATGCGTCCTGTTTTTCTTTACCTTGAGAAAAGTGTATGTGACTTTATGTGTGCGATGCCAGCTTCTGTCATAAAATAGAGGACAGGAGAGCTCTATTTTGCCAGTCACCTGAGAGAGCCTTTGGTCCTTCACCTTTTTATGATCTCTCGTGAGTCTCTACCTTGTGCAGCCAGCAATAACAGAACACCCACGAACTTCAAATGTTGTATAATATTTCACGAGTGCCTTGTTTTTCAGTGCTGCATAGTATTCCATTGTGTGGATATACCGCATCTTCTCTGTCCATTCGTTTGTTGATGGGCTCGTAGATGGTTTCCATCTCTTTGTTATTATGAACAGTGCACTAAACTTGGGCATGTGTGAATCTGCTTGGGTGGCATTTCTGATTTCTTTAGCATATATTCCCTGTAATGGATTGGCTAGGTCAAATGGTATTTCCATTTCCAAGTTTGTGAGAAAGCACCATACTGATTTGCATAGTGGTTGCACTGTTATAGACTCCTGCAAACCATGAATAAGCATCCTGGTTTCTCCACAACCTCACTAGCATTTGTTGTTTGATGTTCTGCTCAATATTGCTATTGTTAGTGGGGTGACATGATGTGTCATATTTGATTTGTATCTTAGAGCTAGGGATTTGGAACATTTCTTCATGTGTTTGTTTGATATCTGAAAATCTTCTTTGGTAAAGTGTCTTTGCATATCCTGTGCCCATTTTGTGATTTGGCTGTTTACATGTTTTATCCTCTTTTATCAGTTCTCTGATGAGAACGTAGGCACCTTGTGAAATGGTTTTGAGCCTGGTGCGGATGGTGTAGGACACGGAGAAGCTTTGGTTCTCTTCATAGGGTTGCGATGACTTCTAGCATCTCTGGATGTGAAGAAAGAATTATTGGGTGAATGTCAGTGCTCAAATCAGTGGTAAAGATTGGTCACTTGAATTCCCCCCAGTCGATAATCTGGAACACATTATGGCACAGTTCAACTGTGACAAACATGGCTTCATCAATTTGTAATCTGACTGCTAAATGCAGTATAACTTGGGTATAGTACTTTGTGTTATAGAGTGTTGTGATGTCCAGGACAGAAAGACAGGCAGTCTCCTCCCATGATACTTATTGTCTCTGGAAAATTGCTGGAGGAGGATCACCTAGGAGTAGTCTCCAGTTTGACATGACACATTAACAGTCATCAGTATTTGTACTATGATAATTTTCATATCAACATCAGTATACCGCAACCTCCTCAATCGAAGGTCATCAATTCTTATTGGGTCTTCCCTATTCAGCCATTGGACAATGTTTACATCCATATGAAGCAGGAAATATGGCTTCGGTTAGGAGCACCTGAGCCTTTAAGATGATATGGTTGTTTTTGTCACTTTGAAGAGGTCCGTGTCCTCAAGCTTGACCAATAAAATGCATCTTTTGCATTCTTAAGGTGTTGATTTTAACATTTTATTACCAAGAGTTGATGGGAAATGAAATTTGTGGCAATATATTTTTTCATTGTCATGAGTTTGAAGCTTTTTTTTGGGGGGGCATCTGGGTGAAGCTCAAGGGATCTCTACACTGCTTCTCTCTTTTAGAAATGGTCGCTCAGCAGAGACATAGCTTCCAGCTGCATCATCCACGGAGGGCACCTAGCTGCGTCACAACCAAGTTTGCAAGATCTTGGCCCGTCGCTCATCAGTTCCTGTGAAACAAACCAGTGTATCTACGGCCATGTGAGTCAAGCACTGAGACTTTTATTTTTTATTTCCTCAGGATTAGGTCAAGGTGTTGTCAAGTATTTTCAGAGTGCTTCATGATCAAAGTGTTACGTGCTAAAAGGACACAGAATCCTGTTGACTTAGACAAACAGCTGATTAACTCATATGACATTCAGACCATACTTGACTGTTCAGAGTTGACTAATGAGTTAAAGATAAAGCACATGATTTACAAGCTTGGAAAGCTCTTGGAGGGTCACGATAAGTAAAAATCAATCCAACACTAGTGTGTATGGTATAAAACAGGGAAGATTAAAATAGCGCACACACAGAGAGAGAAAAGCCACATAGAAAGAGACCTGCTTCTCATCTGAGGACTGGATGAGCTGTAATAAGCAATACATATAGTGGGAGTTCTGGTGGCCAAATGGGGAAGAAGCTGCACTGCAATCCCAAAGGCACACGGTTCAAATCCACCATCTGCTCCATAGGAGAAGGATGGGCAATCTCCTCCTGTTTACTGCTCCTGAAAATTGGCCGAAGGTTCAGGTATGGGTCAGTTCCAACTCAGGAGGGGGTCATAGGGGAGCTATTCCTTGCCGAATGACAATTAATAAACAGAAAACGCGGATTGTGGCAGAAAAAGAACTATTTTGTTAATAGAACAGCATGAATACTGACATAGGCGAGCCATGTAGTGTCAAACTGCTCTGTTATAGTGTTATTGATTGCCTTCAGGCCAAGCCAGACCCTATAAACAAAAGGACTAATGCCTCTCTATAGCTATGGACATTTATCAAAGTTCATTGAGTTTCTGGAGGCATATTGTTTAGATATTTATTTTTACAGAGAGTAGTATTCACTTTAAAAAACACAAACAGAATGAAATGCACAAAATGGGAACCTAACACACTTCATAGTATATAAAATAACATCAGTAAAAGAAAATATTACATATACATCTAATAATCGCTATAAAACCTAAAGGCAAAATTTAGCTTGGAGACAGAGTAAGAAAAACGCATTTAAAAAAAAAAACAACAACAACAAAACCCCACATACCTAAAAACCAAACAAACAAATAGCAAAGAGTTGGACACAACCTAAGTGCCCATTAACAAACGAATGGATGGAGAAACTGTAGTATATTCACACAATGGAATACTACACTGCACTGAAAAAACAAGGAACAAAGGCAATATTATTAAAATTGGATGACCCTGGAGGACATTATGCTGAGTGAAGTATCTCTGTCATGAAAGGACAAATACTGGATAGTGCCACTGTTGTAAAACGTGACTGACACTGGGGTTGAGGGAAGATTGAGAAAGACTGGATAAATTATGTATACTGCATTGAAACAAATGAGGGAGAGAACTATTTAAAAGGGATATATGTTTCGGTATTATTGTCATGACAGGAGTCCAGAACGAAGGCTGCATAGTAGAGTGGACTTGAGAGGAGGGATTGTAAAACAATGAAAGAATTTTCCTTTAAGTTTTCAAAGAGAAGAAGAACTCAGGTGGGGAGAGGTGGGCAGTGTGAAAAGTGTTACAATGAAAGAATGGATGGAAATCCAAAGTCTCTGAAAAACTTTCATGAAAATTAATAATTGTAAAAAAACCCTTAAAACAACAACAAAACAAACAGTGGATTCTAACAGTGATCAGCAAAGTGTGATTTCTCCTACAGACTCAAAAGAAGCTCAGTGCCCCTTCCTTGGACCAGTTGTGACTTCCAGTGGCTTCTAGGCTCCCCATGTTAAAAGCCTGCTTTTTGCCTCCCAGTCTCTGGGGTGTATCCTGGCTGTAGAATAGTGCCCACTGATCCCCTCCTGAGCCTGGGCCATCCCCCGTGGTTACATGAACAGTGAACAAGTGGATTTGGCTCAACCTTGGCAGGGTTTGCTGGCCTTGGCCATCTCCCCATGGTGTGTCTTTGCATGTGCAGCAAGGTGCGAGGTGCACCGGAAGGTTTTTCCACAGTGTGGACAGGAGTAGGGCCTCTCCCCACTGTGGATCCTCCTGTGCGTGTGGAGGCTGGACGCCTGCCGGAAGCCCTTCCCACACTCCTCGCAGGCATAGGGTCGCTCTCCACTGTGGATCCTGGCATGCTTGGTGAGGTCCGAGGCACAGCGGAAGGCTTTCCCACACTGTGGACACGGGTAGGGTCTCTCCCCGCTGTGGGTCCTCCTGTGTTCTGCGAGGCAGAAGGGCCGCGTGAAGGTTTTCCCACACTTCTGGCACGCATAGGGTCTCTCTCCACTGTGGGTTCTCTGGTGGGCTGTCAGGTGGGAGGAACGGCTGAAGGCTTTCCCACACTGCTGGCAGGCGAATGGCCTCTCTCCGCTGTGCGTCTTTCTGTGCGTGGTGAGATTTGAGGTGTGCCTGAACACCTTCCCACACTCCTGACATGTGTATGGCATCTCTCCACTGTGCGTCCTCACGTGCTTCGTCAGTGCGGAGTAATCCAGGAAGCTTTTCCCACACTCCTTGCACACGTAAGGCCTCTCCCCGCTGTGGATTCTCCGGTGGGTGGTCAGGTGCGAGGAGCAGCGGAAGGTCTTCCCACACTCCTGACACGTGTAAGGCTTCTCTCCGCTATGGATACGCCGGTGGGTGATGAGGTCTGAGATCTGACGGAATACCTTGCCACAGTCTGGACACCCGTAGGGCGTCTCTCCACTGTGGATGCGGACATGGTTGGTGAGGAAGGAGGAACACCTGAAGGCTTTGCCGCATTCCTTGCACGTGTAGGGCTTCTCCCCCGTGTGTGTCCTCCGGTGGGTGGTGAGGGCCGAGGGCTGGCTGAAGGCCTTCCCGCACTCAGCACACCTGTAGGGCTTCTCCCCGGTGTGTGTGCGCACGTGGGTGGTAAGGGAGAAGGACCGGCTGAAGGCCTTCCCGCACTGCTCACAGACGTAAGGCTTTTCTCCTGTGTGGATCCGGACATGCTGTGTGAGGGAGAAGGAGTCTGTGAACGCTCTCCCGCACTCCTGACACTCATAGCTCTTCTGTCTCTTACGGCATTTCTTACCCAGAACACGGGTGGAAGAAGGCTGTTTAGAAGTCTTACACTGTGCTTGACATTCACACCGATGGCTCCTCACGTGCGCAGAGAAGGAGGCCAGGCTGCAGAAACTGGCCTCACACTCACTGCACGCATAGCGTTTCCCACTGGAGAGGGTTGGCACAGGCGTCTTGAGGGTTGTGGGGTCAGCAAGGTTCTTTCCACACATCTGACACGCTGCAGGTTTCTTGGCGACAGAAACCCTTGCAGGGGATGATAGGCAGTCATCTGGACCATGGCACTTTTGTCCACCTTCTTTACGCAGGCACGGATCCGATCTAGCATGTGCCCTTCTCTGTTCATCGCTCTCTTCATACCCTTCTGAGCTGTCCTCTAGCATGGAGCTCCAGGCTTTATTCCTCATCAACCACAGCACCATGTCTTCCACGGAGAGCTTTGCATCAGCCTCCTGGGTTGGAGACACTGATCAGGTCATTCAAGTTCACCATATGGGGGGGAAAAAAATAAAAAGAAGTCATTAGGAGGAGCGAAGAGAAAGGGTGTTGTCAACCAAGAAAGACTTGGCTCCATTTGATTGCGTCAACACTTTGAAATAGCTGAAAGGTAGTTTGTTACAGACTCCTTTAGGATGAAGACGCTTTAAAGCAATGCCAGAAAGAAATCGAATCTGCTGTGGTTCTTGGTATGTGCTATGGAAGTGGAAACAAACTCAAAGTTTTAAAATTGCATAGGAGGAGAACTCCAGCTTTCTCCTGCAGAACAGCCTGTGGATTCAACTCCCTTGACTCTGGGTTGGCAGCACAAGTCTGTAACACGAGAGCTCTCCTATTTTAAGAATATAAAGCCAATTAAAAAAAACATTGTGGACACAATACACATGTACCATTAAAAGCTTTTCCACAGTCACCTTTGTCTGAAGGTTGCTAAGGTCAGGCAATGAAGTTCACCTAGGTGTGAAGGCTGTTTTCAGGCCAAAAGACTTTTCAAGACAACTAATGGGATTCCCTAAAATAAAAGGATCTCTGGTGACTGAGAGCTTGGCATTAACTGAAAAGTCACACAAGCCTGATGGTTCAAACCTACCAGGAGAAATATCTGCAATCTCCTCTCGTGAGAAGACAGTGTTGCAAATCCACTAGTCAGCTATAAATTGGTTCTAATGGGACATAAGTCAGGGTATTTTATAAAAGCTTTGTTAGCGGTCTTCAACATTTTGCTTTCTTGCTGCTTCCTGACACAGGAGCCCTGGATCAATCTTCTGCCCAGTATTCTCAAGATATTTTATTGAGGTTCTCTGGGAAAACAGGGCACATCTCTGACCTGGGACACATGTCAAAAAAGACATGGTGAAGGAGGACGATGAAGAGTTATGAATGTTTCCCTGATGCCAAGCCAATGGTTTGCTCTTTGGGGTTTCTGATGATGGACTGGGAAGAGGATTTTGGTATCAATAGAACTGTGTCAAACTGGTAAATGGCTGAGTCAAGCTATCTACAGGGTTACACACTACAGATCTCTCGAAGTCCTAACGTGGCCTTGGAATCCAGTACACTCACAGAGCCCTTAATGAACCTCTGGGCTTTCAAAAATCAGAGTCAAGAAACCTGACGTTAATGCACAGACCTTTTCCTTCATGAGGAGCCCAAGGGAAACCTCCTTTGCATTTCATAACATTATTGTCATTTCTCAACCCCCATTTTGGATGGAAGAATGAACCCAAGAGGAACTGTTGAATGGGAAGGAAATACGTTCTATAAACTCTGAGCAAAACAAGCTTGAAAGGTAGTATTTTCTTTTTCTAGATAGAGAATGTAGAGGTGTTAGAGAATTTTACAGATTAAAGGCTTACCTACAGACGCCAGGTTCCTCAATGTTTCCATCATTACCTCCTTGTAGAGTTTTCTCTGCGCGAAGTCCAGCAGAGGCCACTCTTCCTGGCTAAAGACCACGGCCACGTCCTCAATGGCCGGCGAATCCTAAAGCACACAGCATGGGTCAGGCAGGGACCACGGCCTCCATTGAGCATAATGACAGAAGAGCCAGCTTGGGAACTTAAAAAACCAGAGAGCTCTGACGTGTGGGTCGACATTCCACCCACGTCCACAGCAGGGTCCTGGTCCTTCAAGGCCTCTCTGCCCCTTCCCTCCCTGCTGGGATCTTGATTCACAGACGTGACACGCTGTGGAATAACCCCTCCCAGCCTGACTATGACAAAAATGGCAGAAATGAGAAAAATTCTCTCATCACTTCTTCATGCAACCATTCTTTGACTTCCCATATGCCTTATCCTAGCATCATAACATCGAGCACAGAGCAGAAGATACAGGCAGGATGAGAAATGAACAATTTGACCCAGTAATGCCACTGCTGGGAATATACCCCAAAGAGACAATAACTGACACCCAAGCAGATATATGCACACCCATGTTTATTGCAGCTTTGTTCACAATAGCAAAGAGTTGGAAACAATCTAAGTGCCCATCAACAAACGAATGGCTAGAGAAGCTGTGGTATATTCGCACAATGGAATACTATGCTGCATTAAAAAACAAGGAACTCATGCAATATTATTCAAAATGGTTGACTCTGGAGAACATTATGCTGAGTGAAATATCCCAGTCACAAAAGGACAAATATTACATGATGACACTGTTGTAGAATGGGACTAACCTCGGAGTTGGGGAGAGACTGAGTAAGATGGGTTCAATAATGTATACTGCACTGAAACAGAGGAGGGAGAAAACTGTTTAAAAGAGATATGTGACTGGGTATTTCTGTCATCACAGGAGTCTAGAGCGATGGCTCCATGGTGGAGGGGACCTGGGGGAGGGTTTGTAAAACAATGAAAGAATCTTTTCTTTTACTTTTCCATAATTTTTGACTCATGTACTTATAACTTGTTAGTTAAATTTGTGTCTTCTAGGTTGCAACACCTCCATGATACATATTCAAGGATATGTACGGCTAAGCACAATTAATAACAGTGCATCTAAATTCCAAAATCAATCTCCATAATAGTCTATGTGTTTTCTACTGCCAAAGGGGCCCTTTAGAGTAGTGAGAGAAGATCTTCACCCTGAAACCCACAGCGTCCCTTTTCAGCAGGAAGTAGCTAAGAGAATACGCCGTCCCCTTTTCCTTATGAATCAGGGGGAAGTCTCTCTCAGGGAGGAGTGATAGGGAATGGCAAAGGACACACTGACAAAGGAGATTCATCAGAACTGGCTTTGACAAGCACTGTGGCAATTGGACAATTAAAACAGACATTCGGAGGGCGGGGGAAGAACAACAAACTGGGGAAGAGGGTAGAGAGAATGGTACAGCAATGAAGGAATGAAAACCCAAAATCCCTGTAAATGTTCATGAATACTAATAAAATTTAATAATTTAAAAAAAAAGATACAAGCAGGATGAGAAATGAACAATTTGGAATCATGGAAAAATGATAAATTTTTCTTCCGCCCGTCACCTATGTGAGACGGCCAAGAGTTGGCAGACACTGGCAAACTAAGACCCTAAGCGGGTCGTATCATCTTGAATGCAAGGCAATCAGGAGGTGACTGGTCTATCTGCAGACAAAAAAAAATATTCTGGAGAAGTGGGCATTGCTGCATGGAAGTAAGTATTCCTTGCAGGCAATGATGGCAAATCTTCATGTCACATCCTTTGAAGATAGAAGAGGCTATTCTTTGGAGAGGGACATCATGCTAGGAAAAGGGGAGGGACAGCAAAGCCGAAGAATTCTCTCTCCCAGGTGGATGGACACTGGCTGCAGCCAAGGGGCTCGAGCGTGTCAGAGATGGTTAGGACAGCACAGGACAGAGCTCGTGTCTGCTGTTCCCCTCCATGCTTCTGGGGTCCTGACATTCCCTCACCTTCAACCACTGGCAAGATGGACAGATTTCTGATTTTTCTTTTCCTTTTGAGATTTTAATGAAAGTTTATAAGGAACTTGGGTTTCCAGCCATTCATTGCTGCACATTTTCCTCCCTGACCTCATTCCCCCCCCACTCCAGAGTGCTTTTTTCTTTGCAGAAAAAAAAAGTTATCTCATTTTATACAGTCGTCCCCTGCCACCCAGACCACTTTATTATGCAGCTCTTATTCTGGACTCTTGTCATGCCAATAACACCTGATCATATATTTCTGATTTTTCTTGGCTTCACCTGACACTACACACAAAGGCTCATTTTTGGTTTGGGCACCAGTAAAGAGTTTGCCCGGCTCCCTATACACAATCTCTACATCCAGGAAGTAGGGTGTGTTCCCTTTACACCAACAACGCCTCCCAATTCCCCCCCCCCCCACCGGTGTGTCAGACATTCATCCTCCAAATAAACTAGAGCACCCTCACAAAGCAGCACACCCCTTGAAGAGGGCTCCAGAGCTGTGGATAGCCATCAGACAGTGATGGTCAGGTCATTCTTAGCCATATCTGACTGGGTGCCTGCCCACACCCGACTCCCTAGCCTGGACAGGCGGCAGCCCCTAGCCAAGTGGACCTTCTTGGAAGCTCTTCTGAGCCCAGCAGGAACTCTATGCCTGCCATCTTTCTCAAACCCGTATAGGATGTAGAACTGGCATGATGCCTTCTGTGACATGACAGCTCTTCTCAAGGCCATCGGGTTCCCAGGGGTCTGTCCGCAAGGCCCGAAGTCTCCATCTCCCTTTCTAAATATTCATGAAGTTTGTTGGTACAAACTTAAGTTTTTCTTTTTCATCGTGATTGTACCAACATTTACAGAAAAGTTGAATTTTCCACTCATTTACCGTGGCACATTTAGCCTCCCTCTGCAAGTTTAATGTCTTTTTAAAAAATATTCCTTCGTGTGTATGTTGTTGTTGTTGTTGTTATGTGCCTTCGAGTTGCTTGCAACTCATAGAGACCCTATGTACAAGAGCTCTAAATGCTGTTCTATCCTGTGCCAACCTAGCCATCTCAAACGCACTTATTCCCACCGCTTCAGTCACAGATTCTGTCCATCTCATCAAAGGTCTATATAATTGTTTCCATTCATTCACTGTTGCACATTTCTCCCCTCCTAAGCCTCCCCCCCAGAACACTATCCTCTTGGAAAAGTAAAAGAAAAATTCTTTCATTGTTTTACAAACCCTCCCC